TAGGGAGTAGTATTTCTAAACAAGGATGGAGTGGCTTGGAAACTTTTTTGATAGTTTTAGGTTAATCTGCTGTAGGTTTAGTTACTTGCAACCTAAATTTTGTGTTAATCTTTACAGACCAGAGGATCTGTGTTTCTGTACACACAATTATTTTGTTGTTAAATGGTTTAGAAAGTTAATAATGTCAATGTTAATGGCATAACCAGAAAGGATTAAATAAAACTTCAAGGTCCAGGGAACCTAACAAACCTAACAAAAGTGTCTTTTAAAAAAACCCAAACAGCCAAACCTACAGAAAAATACCACACTTCTTTGTGTATAAGCTGTTAGTAGGTTTTTAATTAAGAAGGTACAAAAACAAGGGAATATTGAATGTGTGGATAATAGCTTTGCCTAATGCAAGATTCAAAGACTGAATTTGAAAGAACTATTGACCTTCATTGTAATTTTTAAAACAACAGAAAAATAATTAATTTATAGATGATGAAAATCTTCCTTGGATGATTGTCCTCCTGTCCGAGTATTGTGTTATACATGTAAATATTTACTAAATTATACAATGTAAAATTGATTGAAATGAATCAGACAGTCTGTACTTTGAAGTAATTTCCTCTGGTTGTATAAGGATTCAGCTTTAAGGATACAGCAACTCTTGGGTGTGAACTGTGGCATCAAGAGGCCATTCTTCTTAATCTGTCTTCAGTTTAAAAAAAAATCTATATGGACTAGCAAAATTCAGCTTCTGGCTAAATCTTGAAAGAACCTGTACAAGTGAACCTCTAGCAAATAACATGGGAAAGGTGTTGCTTCTTATGAATGAGAAAGCGATAGTGTCTAGGTGAAAGATTTATAGAGGATATTGGCCCCTGGATAGCAGAGCTCAAACTTGTGTTCTAAAGGAGATGGGTGGTGGATAGAGCTAACTCAAAGAACATTCCAGGTGCAGAAGTGCTGTTTGTGTCTTATAAAATTGCTGAGTAAAATCAGTTTGAAAAGTTTCAGTTGGAGGAGGTTTGATTTGGCACAATTTTTATAGAGCACTGTACTTGTGACAGCATTTTTTCTCAAGTCCTCAACCATAGAAACAGTGTGCTTTGCTTCCACTTGGTTATAAATATCCTGCCAATTTGGAAACATTAATAAAGTAAGTTTAGTCTTCAGCCTTCGGTTTCCCACAAAGGGAACATAATTAACAGTGGAATTTCCTGCAAACCTTTCTGCTTAAAGTTGTAGAGAAACCTTGGTCCAAACGACTCGGTACATTTGCTAGGAAAGCTTGTGACTGAGTGCTCTGTATGCTTGCCTTTTTGCTTCCACCTTAGAATCCAGGGCCATTACTTTCTGTAACCATTTCAGTGAGCTGCCATAGTTTTCAGTCTGTACTGTCACCTGATCCAAGCATGCGCCAAAATACCCACCGTTTCTGGCTCCTGTCTGCTGAATCTGCTTTGCAAACCCTTAGTTCTTAAGCTTTTGCCTTAGCCAAACAACCAACAGGCACTCCCAAGGAGTGTGCTGGACACATGCCATCCTGCTTCCCTAACTCCTCTAATTGTTTATGTAAATCCTTAGCTTTACTAAACTTGTAAATGCTACGACAGCATCCCCATGTGAAATTGTGTGGCTCATGTGTCAAAAAAGGCTGCTTGTGAAAATATTTGTCAGAAGAATATGAATGCTACACATTGCACTGCATTCAGTGTTTTGTATCAACCTATTATTGCAATGTCATGGTGTTTGATTTTAATTGTAGACGATTATTTTGTGTTTTAATATACAAAGGTAAGTTCATGTAAACTGTGTACAGTATTTTTATATAAAGATAATAATTGTTATTTTTTGGCCTCTTTCTGGAACAAAAAAAATAGTCAAATATCTTAAGCCGAGGTCACAGCCTTCTTTACAAACAGTTGCTTCTGCATGACTCTTATAGAAATATTTGTTCTTGTGCAATAAGAAACTGTTGGATTCTTCGAAAGATATTGGGCCTGATCCTGTTAATGCTGAAGACAATGGCTGGAAAATACTTCTTACTTCTCATAAGAATGAAAATGATCCATTACATTTCTGTAGTTAATAGTTTTGTTAGAGTTCTTAGAATAAAGGGTTAAACGTTGTTTTAGCAAGACAGTGTCGAGCAACTTCACAACAGTGTGTGTTTGCCATAATGGTAAGGTGTCCTTGTAGATGTTAGGTAAGAAAATTAAGTCTCTTAACAACTTCAATAATTTAAACTATGAATTTTTGTGGAGGAGAGCTAAATGTTTGCATAGGATTTGGGACCCGTCACTATTTCTACCTTTTATGTTCACTTTAAGGATCCCTATTTCCTTTCAACATCTCATTCCATTTCAGTTTTCACTTTGGCTACATTCCTTTTCAATGTCATTCCTGTCTTGATCAAGCTGACCTTTATTTCACAGCACTTTTTGTACTCATCCTCAGTCACTTCACCTGTTGCTAACTCTCAAATCCTCATCATGACTTCACATTTTCTGGCACTTTGACATAGAAATGTCACTGGTGATAAGTAGAAGCAGTTTTTGTCACATGGAACCAAAAGGTGTAAAAAGTTGTAGTTTTGAAAATTAGTGCTTTTTTGTCTAGAGAAAAGGGTATTTCTTTTTTGCAGGCGTTTTTCTGTGAAGAACAAGAATCTGTGTGGCTGTTTAGTCACTGTTTATAACCAGCTGCCTGTGATCCAGTCTCATTGAGCAGGTGTTTTTCTCCATGGTCAGAGAACCACTTTTGCTGCTACTTAGACTTTTCATCTCTAAGGAGAAACACATTGCATATCAAAACAATCTCTGGCCCATGGCTGGAGGGGAGAGGAGGAATTGCTCCCAAGATCCTTGTCCATTTTACCAAAAAGAGTTGAGAGAGAGCTCTCACAGAATGTGCTTGTGGTCTCCCATCTTCCATGCACTATGAATTTGTCAGATGTTGTAGCTTGGCCTTACAATCCATTTCCAGAGATCCTCCCTTGGTTCAGCCACCCCTGCTGTGTTACCTGCTGCCAGCAGAAGCAGCCTCTGTCCAGAGGGGTACCTGCAAAGAAAAGGCATTTCCCACTTTTTGTACCACAAGTGGTTCTGAGAGCTGAGCTGGGGAGTCCAGCCCTGTGTTGCGATGGATTATTTCTGTAGGAATCTCAGGAATTCCAAAGCTGAGGAGAGCAGGTGCTCCAGAAATCTGAGTCAGGATTGCTGAGTATCATCTTAAACATTTATTTTCCCAGTCACTGAGAGGATTTAAACAGTGTTTTCATACTGGGAGTGAAGTGCAGCACCTCAAGATTCTGCCAGTAGTGCACTGAAACCTGCTAAAGTGAACGTGGATGTTGCAGAACAGGATTGAAATCGTTCATAGAAGTCCCTTGTTTTGTGTCCTGACGTGTATATTTTTGTTGATTGTAGAGAACATTCCTAAGAACTCTCACTGTAAGGTTTTTTCTGTTCAGTGTTCATTTCTTAAAGCAAAAGTTGAATAAACTTAAGTCTGAGCATCCAAGCTGCTGCTGGTCAGTGTAATGCTGTGAGTTACACAAGCATTGCCATCTGAAGTTAGGTGTAATTGAATATAAAGACCTCTGTGCTCTTCCTTTGAGTTAGAAAATTATCATTGGTTTACTTCAGAAAAATTAAAGCCTAGCTCTAAATGCAAAGTTGAGGTAAAGTCATGAATGAATACATCTTGCTTTACGATATTTCTGTTTCAGTAACTTTTAAATTATGTGTATATCTGCATCTTGCATTTTTGTTTGTCATGTTGTCAGAGAACCAAGTGTATGATAATGTGGTATCATACACTGTGTTGGTAAATATTCCTGGTAGTACAAAATTGGTTCCAAATAAATTCCAGGTTTTGAGTTGGATATTTAAATTATAATTCAGCAAGGAGAGCTCAGTGGCCAGAAGTTTGTATCTGTGTAAGTTCAGTTAATTTCAGGGAAATCTCATAAGAATCTCTCTACTCAGAACCCTTGGTGCCTATTTTTTTGTTACTGGTTTTCCCTTTTTATATCAACAATTAACACAGTTGCCAACTATATTCATTGAAACAGGTAAGTTTTGAGAGAAGAAACAGCTGACAAATTCTAGTTGTAAATTCAATATTTGTTGGCTCCATATGTAAAAATCTTGCAAGGCAAGAGCTTTAGTTATGGGAACAAATTGCTGAGCAGTTAAAATAAATAGATTGCATGAACTTATTCTAGCAGCACACTTTTTTTTGTATTTTTGTATCCTGTAGTTTTCAAGAAAAGCAGGCAGGATATATTTAACATATAACCTTGAGGACAGTAAAGGTAATTTGAATCCATTTGTGGGCTTGGAGGAAAGATGCAGTTTCCAGGATACTGAAGCAAAAAAGCACTGACAACATACACCCTGTATTTCTTCATGTTGTAAATGTAGAAGTAGTTTAAGTCCCTGTGGGTTCTCACAGTTACGACTGCCACAGACCTGTCTGATTAGTGATACAGGTTGGAACAAATATTTTCAAACTCTGGGTAACAGAGAGAACTGCTTCCAGTAGGAAAAACTATTGAGGTTATTTCAAAGCTACCAAGTGTAAAGCAAAGTAAAAGACTAGTTTCCTACTAGAAATACTGTTTCATTGCTGATAGTTTTTAGCATTACAGAGTATCTGTGATGCTTTGTTGCATTACACACTGCTCTTGTGTTGTTGGTAACTGTGTGGTTTGGAACTAAAAATAGGTAGAGATTGGAACAGTATCTACAGTATTTTAGTGTTATCGGTCATATGGGCAGCAAGAAGAATGCAGTAATTTGTGAGAACCTGCTCACATGGGGGAGAAACAAGATAATTAGTGAAAAAGTCCCATTAGTGTTTCCTTGAAGTGTGATAAATAGGAAGGAAATCAAGTATCCTCATTCAAAGCACTTGAATATGAAAACCTCAGCTTCTCAGGTTAATTGCATGAAGCTTTGTGTCAGCGTAGTCCAGAATAGTGAACTGATTTATACTTTGTCTTTCAGATGAACCGGAGACACGAGATGCCTGGTGGGCAGAAATCAGACAAGAAATAAAATCCCATGCCAAGGCATTGGGTTGTCATGCTGTAGTGGGCTACAGTGAATCAACCAGCATTTGGTAAATCATGATGATGATGATTTTTATTTTCAAAATGCCACAGAAAACTTAGTGCATCATCAATGGATTCAAAATTAACTATTCCAGTACAGGTGTTGGTACTATCTATTCTATAACTACTTTACAGAGTTTAAGTGAGATTATGGAATTTCGGTATTAGGCATTTTTATGTATGTTTAGATCTTGCAAGATCTAAGTTTTAAGTTTTTGTCTAATGACTGTTACAATTTTTTTTTTAAACTAAAGCCTACAATTTGTTTTGTAGTAACAATATTAATTTATCCATGAAGTTTCCTAAACCTAATCTATCTAAATAATTAAGACTGTTCTTAAAAGTATATGTATTGAAGTTTCATTATTGGATAACAACTGGCAGACCAGAACTTAAATGAAAAACTTCACATTTCAGGCCCAAAACCAGTTTGCCCTGGAGCCAGATGTGTCTGCTGATATTAAACAGAAAATTACTCTGGTTCACTATTTTGAATTGCATTTGGGAAGTAGCAAGGAAATTCAAACAATTGAATGCTTGCATTTCTCTAAAGGAGTTTAACTTGGTAGTGTTTGATTATTGATAAAATATTTATTGGAATTCCCATACTTATTGCCTGTTCAGCTTTATTCCATGCTTAAAGCACAAGCCTGTGTGTGTAAGTACTGGTCTGCCAGACATGTTATGTATGAAAAATTATTTTGGAAGGAGAAACAACAAATTAAAAAAAGACACGTGTATCATTCTAGAAAGTGTGGGAAAGATTTTCTCTATTTTTTTTTTCAATATAGTCTTTTATACTGAATACTAGATGTTGGTTTCATATTTAACAACTTGAGAATTATTAAAGCTCTGTGGTCATTCTGAGAGCTTTAACTCTGCTAAATCCTTAGTATGGTTGGTTACTTTGCAAAATGTACTATTTTTGTAATTCTTCCTAGTAAAATTTTAATGCTTTGCCATTTTTTATCCTTCAAGAAGCACCCTTGTCAGTATTGGGTTGTAATTTCCTTTTGAAAATTGAATGTTAATAATAAGATGCTGGGACTCTCAACTTCCCTTTTACTTTGGTAAAAAATTATGCCTTGTTTTTTTTACTGTTTAGTTGGTTTGCTGTATTTCTTTGCATTGTGAACCATAGCACTGAAAACCATGCTTAAACCTGGTTAGCCTTTCTCTTGCTATATTATTTGTAACATGAGGCAAAGCTGTTAAGTCTTTCTGTTCAATCCTTCTTCACCTTGTGCTTATGCAATGGTTGTGGTTTAAATAACCAGAAGAGGATTGTTTGTGAGTTTTAATGGATAAAATTGCACAACTGCTCAGAATTAGTGGTGATGTTGAACTTCATTGAGACTTGTAGTAGCCTTTTAATGTGAAAATTTGCTATATAAGCACCCACTAAGTAAGAGGCATTCACTCTGTTGTTGTTCTTTTCTCTTATAGTGAAGAGGTCTGTATTTTGTCCGCATCTGGCACAGCAGCTGTACTGAACCCTAGGTTCCTTCAGGATGGCACCATGGAAGGCTGTTTGGAACAAAGGTTGTCTTGGCAGCCTGGCTTCTTTTCCATAGGGTCAGAGAAGGGAGAGGTTGATTTTTTTCCTCAGAGCCAAGATAGTTCTTCTCTATTAGGGTAGGTTACAGTGTTACAGTGCAGGATGCGGGACCAACCACTTTACTGCTTTTCACTAACAACAACCACCACAGGAGTAATGGAGCTCTGCACCCATTAGATACTCTGTTTTTATTTCTAACAGTCTCAATAAGGTAACACGTTTGACTACTAACACAGATCATAACTCAGTTTTTTCCTTTGCTCCTCTTCAGGTCTCTTTTCTCAATTTTGTATCACACCCTAAAAATGACATGTTTGATAACTTACAAAAGCCAAAAGTGGCTGTGTCTGTAATGTGTGTATATATGCTCCATTAAATAACTGTTAATGTGTGGGAGATAAAGTAGCTTGGTTATCAAACAAATACAATGCCAGATTGTTCCAAAATAAGTAAGTGTTTCTTGAAGCTGATGAAGAAAGTCACGAAACTGAAGGCCAAACATGAAGTCTCCCTTTGTTTCCACTCTTGCAAATAAAATTTGAAGACTGAGCATTGCCACAAAGATTTTTTTGGGTTAAAAAAAGATTAATTAATGCATATGGGTAATTTATTATGTATTCATCAGGATAGTAATCAAATATTTCAAGGGATAATTATAGTTGTAAGCAAGGCTATTTATTACACTGTAGTACTTGCATTGCTTTTTCCATAATAAACCAGTCAACGTGGTTTTTTTACAATTTCTTATTCTTTTACTTTGTTAGCAGAAGACCACTGTCTTCTGGCATAGATGGAGTTTTAAAAATGTAGTCAGAACTAAAATACTTGGTTTTGTAGTCACTATATGATGGAGAGAAAGAAATACCATCTTCATAATATAAAGAAAATAGCACCCTTTTCAAAATATGCATTTTGGTGCTACTAAGAGTCTTGGCATGGATTAGAAATGCCAGAGGGAGGTAAAACAGATAAACAGGCAAAGCTCAGGCTCAACACAAAATCTATTTGCCATAGTCTTATGATAACTAATGTTCCAAATCTGACAGACTTGCTTAAGCACTCTTCAAGATCACTGAGGAGAATTGTTGATGTGAAACAGAATCCATTTGCAGTGATGCAGTTGGCCTGTGCTTTCCCTGTTCATATTTTTATAGTGGTCATTCCTGGGTATTCCTCATGGGGGATAGAGACTGTGTTCTAAGTAAATAATTAATTTTACCTGATATTTGTGCTACTTCTCAGAAGGATGATTGGTTTGTTGTTTGTATTCTGCTCTTACGGGGTTTTGGACACAATGAGAAAAAGATAATTTTTGGTGTGTTTGGTACAGCAAATTCTTTGTACAACTGTGGTATCATGAATTATATTTGGAAGTTACACTGCTTAAAGCCAGTTCAGTGATGTTACAGGTTTTTATGAATCGTTGGTCACTGAATGTCCTTTTTCTCAGTCCATGCATAAGAAGTTTCAATGCAAGTTTTATTGATAGCATTTTAGCAAGTAGTGTGCAACTTTTTCTTCTTGTAGCTGGTGTATTGTAATACTTGTCACACTGGTGTAAGGGATCAGGGTTCAGTTGTGCTGCATGATTTAAGTAGGTCTCTGTAGGTGTTTGTACACATGTGCACTTGCTGAGCATGGTTAACAAGATGCAGATGTTTTAAGTATTCTCTCCATAATGTATTTTTAGGATTGAAGAAGCTTCACCACCAGGTTGTGGATTTTGCCATATCCCATATGATGAATTGAACATGCCATTTCCTGCTCACCTCACTTACTGTTACAACTGCAGAAAGCAAAAAGTTCCTGATGTCCTTTTCACCACAATTGATCTTCCTGTAGAGGCAATAGTTGTTGGGAAGGGATGTCTTATTCAAGCCAGGTATCTGTCAAAATACTTCCTTAGTAAAGTGAAGTTTTGGAGACCTTTGAAAGAATTCCTGTTGCTAAAATCCGATGTGTCATCAAACCCTATATTATAAAACATGCAAATGGCAGGTGTTCTTGAATAAGATTTCTCTCTGAAAGTATCATTGCACTGGTGTGGGCTTTGAATTTCAGCTTGTAGGACTAAACCCAAAGAGTGGAAGATGACTGACATATAGTCAGAGATGGGAATGCTGTGCTCTGCTTTATTCTGTTCAGATAAATATGGTTATTGCTCTAGCTGTGAGGGCATGTGGGTTTGGTTTGATTTTGGGATTTTTTTCTTCCTTCCAATATGTGTCTTGAATAACTGTATTAATAGGAATTTTTAAAGTTCTACCACTACAAATTACAGTAGTAATTTTCTGTACTTGTGCCTGAAATGTTTGATTGAGGCTTGTAGCAAGATGTTTGCATTGGGGGTCTTACTAGAAGAAAAGCTGTAAATAGAAGCTTTCAGATGGCACTGTCTCAAGGAGTTCTTGTAAAGAACTGGCATTTTATTTTACTGTTGCAGCCATCTAGAAGAACTGAAAGGAAGCTGTATTAGGTTATACAATGAGGAAAAAGAATTCCAGGTACCCTGTGGTCCCTTTCAGTCCCCACAGATGCACTGGAGCTCTGTCTGTGCTGGTTTGTGTTGCCAGGTTGTGCCGGCTGAAGAAGAAAGCCCAGGCTGAAGCAAATGCAACATCTATCAGTAACCTCCTGCCATTCATGGAGTATGAAGTGCACACACAGCTGATGAACAAACTCAAGCTGAGAGGAATGAATGCCCTCTTTGGGCTGAGAATTCAGATCACTGTGGGGGAAAATATGCTGATGGGCTTGGCAGTAAGTACTGTTGGGATCCTAGGGTTCTGCTTTATTACAGTATTTTTTCAGAAGACATACAAGTGTTGTGGGATTCAGAGGAATCAGACATATTAAAATGTCATTTTAAAAGCAAGTGTCTTAATTATTGTAAAATCGGGACAGGCTTTTCTTTCATAACCAGCAGAAGAAGATTCAAATCTCTTGAAAATGGTAAAAGACAAGATGATTAAAAAGGGGATGAGAGGAAAAGAAATTTCAAGCAGTTAATTGGCACAAATTGTAGAAAAATTATGGTATTCTGTAAAAGGTTCTGTCAAAGAGATCCCTGTTCTTCAAATTGAATTGCAGTTCCATGACAAAGAAGGTCAGTTAAGCCTGTCAGTAAATATTTTCCTTAATTGGCAACAAGGGGAAGTCCTGTTGCCTCCTCTTTGATGGAACTGAAGAAATAAATGACAGATTTGAGAAAGTCAAGAAGTGTTCATTAACAGTATTTTCTAACCCCATTCTTTCATGCTAGATTAGAATAGTAATATATACTGCTGCTTCCTGCATCAGGGTAATTCTGGGTGGCATCTTCATTTGTCTTTCATGATCTGTTTCCTGTAAATAGAAATAGGGTTGTCACAACCTCACTGGTGCAGGAAATGGTTTGGCCAAATTTTATAGACCTTCAAAAACTCTTAACAAACTATTTGCTTATGCCAAATATACTGGAGCAGAGGCTTTCATTTTTAGTTTGTTTGTTTATTTGCAAGAGATGCTGCTGTAATTTGCATGTTACAATGCTGTTTTAGCATAAGCATTATGGAAAGCTTTATATGAAAATATTAGGAATTCATGCTTATATACTTGTCTTTTTCTTTGTGACTTTTTTAAAAGTCTGCAACAGGTGTGTATTTAGCAGCTTTGCCAACACCTGGAGGTATTCAGATTGCTGGGAAGACTCCAAATGATGGCACCTATGAGCAGCACATATCCCACATGCAAAAGAAAATAAATGATACAATAGCAAAGAACAAGGAACTTTATGAGATTAATCCTCCAGTAAGTACATTTTTTTAGTTTTAGAAATAAAGCATTCTGATTCAGTATATGTACTGTATCTCCATTGTTTCTTACTGAGTCATTCAGAACATAAGTTTATTTACAAATAGAGATACAGACTTCTTTCACTGGGTTTTGGAAAGATGCTGGAATTTTCAGATCCCTTTGCCACATAGCCAAATCAGCTTGGTATTATTTAGCTATATTTCTCAGTAGAATGATTTTCAGAATGGTCTGATTCTTAGAATTGTTAACAACTTGTGGAGAGTTAATTTTTTTTTTAAGCTGGGCAGAACATCTGTTAATTCTTACATTCTTTTTAGGAGTTACCTGAAGAAATTATTGGGTCTCCCATTCCAGAGCCAAGACAACGTTCCAGGCTATTGAGATCTCAGTCAGAAAGCTCTGATGAAGTTACAGAGCTTGACCTTTCACATGGGAAGAAGGATGCTTTTGTCTTGGAGGTGATAAACATTTTCACTACTCATGCTCATACTTTTCTCCTCCTGAAATATATATCAAAAAAACTTACTCATCTCCAAGAACAGTTCCTAAATTGTGTATGTTTTTTTTCCCTTTTGTATCAATAGAAAAAGTATTAGATTAGAAGTATTAGATTTCGCTTTGTCTCTCTTTTTCTTACTCTATTTGCTTAAAGCACAGTGCAGTCTACAAACTATCTGAAAAAAGATTGCCCTGCTCTTGATGAATATGTAGCAATCTCTAGATAATAATAATTAAAAGCTGTTAAGAAATGTCATCCTGCTTGCTTCAAGCAGCAGATCAGACTAATCAAAAACTCAAGATCTATTTTTATAAACACTGAGGTTCTGTGTTGCCACACTTTATATTTAACAAATAAAATGATTGTATTTTCTTCCTGTTTCAAAGCTTTTACTGTTGTAGGTGAACATTCAGAATTATTAGCTTCCAGAATGGGTTCTATTCAAAGCATTCAAAAAACTACATGTACCAAGAGAGCACAAAAAAGAAGATTTTATGTATTTCAGCTATTGCTTTTCACAATTTAAGAATACACAACTTGTGACAATACCTTCCAGTTCTTTCTACAGCTGCATCCAGAAAGAACAACACCTACAGATAAATAAAGGACATAGATTTCTGTTACCTCTATGTTCACTGAAATTCAAAGACAAGATTGGACATTGTCTGCTTTGAAGTCTTTAATGCTCCAGCAAGTGTTAAAAAAGGGCTGGAGTTTGATCATCCTGTAGACAGAGACAGTACAAATACCTATCACTGACTAAAACCTACTTCAAAATACAGGCTGTAATTGCAGCCTAAGGTACATCTAAGGCTTTGTTAATCTTCACAAGTCACCATCTGAATAGAAAGTAATCTGTAAGAAAGGTAGATAGGAAGAATGTGGGAGCACTATAACAGGAACTTGTGTGAAAACAGAGATACAAAAGGAGAGCTAAAAGATAACAAGTTGGGAGAGTTTGGGATAATAAATTTAGATTTGATGGTGCTTTTGCAGAAAGGGTCAACTACTAGCTTTGTAAAAAAATGAGCATTTTGTAAGGCATTTATAGGAAAAAATTACTTTTTATCTGTGGAATCATTTACTGTTTTATTTGAGAAGTTGGGCTTATGATTAAGTGGATATCAGAAACAATATTCCAGAAAATTTAGTTAAACTCCTGACGAAGCTTTCAAGAGTAAAATCATTTTTCACTGGTACTATATAAGAAAAAGTAGTAAAAATTTCATTGTGATGAGGATGTGCTGAAAGAGGCTGAGAAGGCAATTATGAGAGGTAAAGATATCTGGGTTGGTTTTGTTTAGTTTTTGGGCTGTTTTTTGAAGGAAAAAAAGATAACCCCTTTTACATGGAGAGGGAGAAGGAGACATATTACTTGGCAGAAAACCCTTCAATACTGGAGTTAATTTATGAAGCATTTCTAAAACACTTGATAAGAAAATGTTGGGAGTTAAAGGTAAATGTGGATATCTTGCAGGGCAATAAGACAGGATGAATGTAAAGACACACCAGAAGTATTTACAGACCGTGGCAGGGCTCTCATCTGATCTGAAAGAAGGGTATTAAAGGTTGAATGGAATGGAGGTTATTTGATTTATTTTAGAAACTTCTTACTGGCACAGCAACGTGTTTTTCCTCAATTATTCCCTTTTTGCAGATTGATGACACAGATGCAATGGAAGATGTACATTCTTTACTGACAGATGTTCCACCACCTTCTGGTATAGTTACAACCATATTTTTCTGCAAAATGACAAAATATGACTAGTTTTATTAAAAATTGTTTTAAAAGTTCCAAGAGACCTGACAATATTATTGTTTCTGAAGATTTTTAGACTGAATTACGGATTTGTAGGGCTCAGGTTAATGAAAGTAAAATAGAGAACTAATTTTTGCCTGGTATCAGTTGTCTTTATGCTATTTATTGTTGTATAGATATGTCATACCTTCCCCAACAGAACTGCTGTATCTAGATAAGAGGAAAGGTAGTTGTCCATTATATAGAAATCGCTCTGGACATTTGATTTGTCCTTGTCCTTTCTCTAGTCACTGTGAATTTCCTTCCTCTTGTCGCTGTGTTTCTTCTGAGAAAGTCTTGGTTTCCTTCCTAGTAACTGATACCTGTGTTAATATTGTTGTGTCAAGCTCAGAACCATCCTTGTAGTTATCTATTACTATCACCTTTATTCCTCACTGATTATCCAGTTCTGCTGCAGTTGATTTTATTGCCCTAAATTAAGGCCATCAGCCATCACCTTCATCATCTTGTTTTATCCTCTTCTGCTTGTAAGTTAGGAATATGTTTGAAGCACAAAATCCAAACTTGCAGATACCTTCACTGTGAAAATGGAGCGCTTCTGTCCCTCCCTCTTTCCCTGGTCGTACATTTACATTGCATTGGATGATGTTTCATGGTCAGTTTGTTAGGAGAGCTTGCTGAAGGACCTTTCCAAGTACCTGCTGATGGCCCAGGTGGATGGGACAGGTCAGGTGCCTTTGTCTGTGCTTGCTGAGAGCTGCTGGGCAGTGGGTGCTGCTGGGCTGGCAGCAGGAGTGCAGTGCTGTGCTTCCAGCTGCTGAGGCTCCCTTTGCTGCATCAGCAGCACACTGCACCCAGGAAAGCACTTAGCACCTCACTACTGGAGCTTGAACACTGCTCTCTGGCAGTGGGACTTCAGTGTCAATGAGCTGTTTGATCTTCTGCCTCTTCTGTGCTTTATTGCAACCTTTCATTTGCCTTTTTGTTCAATATCTCCTTCAGACACTTGTTCAAGACAAATAAACAAAGGACTGGTTTTCTGCTGTTGTGGAAAGCTGTACTACACTGCTGTAAAAAGAAAAGCATGTTTTCTGCTCTCGTGTTATTATTTCTGCGTATCTTTCCTAAATTTTATTTGATTCTTCAACGGAATTTCTGCTTTTGATGTTCTGAAAGACAGTCCATTAATATTTATACCCTCTGCAAGCTGCTACACGAGCTCTTTTCTAGCTCATTTTGTGCTTTTATATGGGCCCTACCAGATTGGCCTCTTTTCTGCTTATTTAACTGTTTCTTCAGGATTTCAGAATCACTGGCTTGCTGTTAATAACTTACTTTACTCTGCTGTTAAGTCCTTATAATTCTGTTCTTCATTTGCAATAAGTCAGTATGCTAGTTCCTTTGCAGCCTTTTCTGTGCTCTCTATTAAAGGCTGGCTTTTTAGCTTTTCAAATCACACCTTTCCAAAAAATTTCCTCATTTGTGAATAGTTTATCTAATAGAAATAGGTGGAGCAGTTGTGGATTTGGGGTGTTAGCAACTCCTACAAGGATTCTGTATTTGTTTATTGAATGTTGATCTCACTTCTGGTGTATCATTCAATATTCAAAACCACATGAAGAAAAATACTTGCAAAGCCTTGTCACATATGTTTCCTTTACAAGTATTTTTAAATTGCAGTGTATACAATAGATTTTTTTCCCAATTATTTTCTTCACAGGTTTCTACAGTTGCAACACAGAAATTATGCCTGGTATAAATAACTGGACACCAGAAATTCAAGTAAGGTTATTCAAAATTGAAACTTTTTGCTAAATTGTGTTGAAATATGCTGTAGTAATTTAAGTGTATATTTTGAAAGCTAAAGTCAAAGGACACCCTTGTGACAGAAATAAAAGTAGTATTTTGGTAAGAACAATAAGGTATGAGAACCTGGGCTTTTGTTGGTTTATTTAATGCTGTCATGTAACAAATAATCTAATACAGAAATATGAAAGTAATTACAGTAAATTTGAACTTCAAGGTTTTGGCTTTTTGAAAGGTTTGGCTAGGTTTGAAGCCCCTTAAAGGGTACAGATTATTGACTGTGTTGCTTAGCTAACTTATTTTGTTACTTATTGAACATATATGTTAACATACTTTACATTATTTTCCTTCTTTATGACTTTGGGTTTAAGACACTGGATAAAATATATTTGCATATGTTGGCAAAAAATCCCCATGTTTGTTTCTGATTCAGATGTTCACAGCAGTTAGAGTGTCCAGATTAAGCAACATTAACCCAACAAATCAAACACTCAATAAGAACTTTAATGATCTCTGTGAGAATCTGTTGAAGGTAAGAATCTTATTTCAAATACTTTTTAAAGTGTTCAAACGGGAGCCAAGTAAAATTCAGCTATACTGAAAATAACATGTGCCTCATAATTTTGAAAGTAGAATGCAAGTGTCTGTAATTAGCTTGTGAGTTTCTGTGAAGATAGGTTTAGTATATTTTTAGTATATTAGGGAATTCCAGAGCTTGTGGGACCTGAAGGAGTACTTTGCCTAGCAGTATACTCTAGAAATAGAAAGATAGCTCCACAGTAAATGGCATTCTCTCCTGACTTTTCACACATGTAATTCTTCTTCAAGAAAAAATTAATATCGTTAGATGACTTCTACTGTGAAAAGAGTTTTGATCCTTAATTTCTCTGAAACAAACCACGCTTTTTTCCCTGAGTGACACAAAATGCTTTCCTGTCTTGAACAGAGTTTGTATTTTAAGCTGCGGTCCATGGTTCCTTGCTGCCTTTGCCATGTGAACTTCACAGTGGCTCTGCCAGAGGATGAGCTGGTCCAGGTAAGGGAACTGCTGCCTTTAACTTCCAGCACATAGGCATAACCCTAGTTAATGTTTGCTGCTCAGGGTAAGCTGGGCTAGGGTTTGATTTACTGCTCTGGCTGGTGAATTCTTGGATGGTTTTTCCCCTGTTATGTTTCTATGCAAAGAACTGCTTGTTTGCAAAATTATTTTTCAGATTTCACAAGAGATCAACTTACCTAATATACCAAATATTTCTGATTTGCAGATTGCAGTCACAGCTGTTGCCATTACATATGACAAAAACCAAGCGCTACAAGCCAACAAAGCACCTACAGAAAAATCACAGCAAAGAGGTAAATATTGTGAGGCATCTTTCCTTTTTTGTCCCCAGTGCCTGATGAGTCTGGATTTTAATTTCAGTTACATGTACAGAATATTCTGAGTTGAAAGGGACTCAAAAAGATAATCAAGTTCAAATATACATATTTTTCAGGGAGGTTCTTTCAACACAGAGGTTTTTTAGAGTTCTCATGTACTTGACCTGCAGCAGGATGACTTACTTATCAAGTATTACATATTTATTTTGCATAATCAACGAATGTGTAGTACTTTCTTACTCTACCTACTTTGAAGTAGTTTTTATAAGTACAAATTTTGTCTGTATTTGTAGAAGGTGAAAAATAAATTATACTTTTAAAAAACTCCAACCTTCTGAAAACCCTTAAGCAGGTCAGTAACAGTTTTGGGGCTCAGTGAAGCACGTGGAGGTGATGGAGGAGGCTGCTGTGGTCTGCATATGTCACCTTGCTAATGAAGTACCATCTTAAGCTGGAAATGCATGTGTGCAGTCTGGAATTCAGACAGAACTCAGGATTACCCAATTCTTCAGAATGGAATTAGATGGAACAGAGCCACATGTTTCTAAAACATTAGTTATAGCTGACTTTTTCAGTACAGTGATCTGTTTTCTTTCATGTGAAATAAGTGCTAATTTTTATTATAATAGCTGACATAGATCTAACTGCAGAATCAAAATAAAAACACATGAATGGACTTTATTTTTCTCCTAAAAACTTCAAATGCTGTTTAGTGGAACACAGGCTCTATTCAGTGTTGCAGCTGGATTTGTTACTTGTCACAAACCTGTTTCTGCAGAACTGCATCACTTGATGCACTTGATGCTGAAAATGCCTGTTCAAGTCAGACCTGACTAAATTGACTCTGCTTGTAATTACTGGCAAATCTTATTTTGGGGGTTAATTATCAGTTTGCCGTATTTTCTATGTTGTAGCATCTACAGACAATGAAGAACAGCTACAATTTCCCTTGGAACTTTGCTCTGATCCCCTTTCTTCTCAACCATTCTCTCCAGCTAAAGGTCAGTTAAGGAGAAGAATATTAAACTGTTGTTTTTTATGGATTTTGGGTTCTGCTCTTTCATAGTTGTAGAAGCTTTAAAATATCTGCACTTTCACAGGCTGTAAATGTGCTTTGCTGCCTAAGCATAATGGGTATATTTGCTCATGTTGTCAAATTTTTTGAGAGTCACAAAAGATGGTTTGGCTGATCATTCTGTCTATATTTCATGTCTTTGCATTTAGAATATTGAAGATGCTGCAAACCACTGGGTGTTGGGTGTCATCTGACATAACTATCAATTACCTAATAATTAGGCTTGTCACATACTGGAAATGGTCCATATAAAGTACCTCCGTGTTTTCTCAGCCTCACAGAATTGATCTCTTCGTTCTTGTGATGGGAAATACTTTACCTACCAGATACTGGATGCATGCTAATTTTCTTTAAGTGAAAAGAGCCTAAACTTTTATAGTAAATAATCTGTACAGTGCAGCACCTTGTAGCTGGTAAACAGCTGCTTTATTTTACCTGAGATAGAGCTGCATTTCAAGAATGATTGTCACAGTTCTTCTATGACTGCATTAAAAATTCAAGTCATTAAAATCAGCTGTCTTTAACTCCTTCCCCCTTGTTGGATTATCTGCCAAAATTGTTACTGAGAGGAAATTAAATATCTGGGAATTGCTGTAAATGTTTGAATTCCCTTTTTTGCCTGTTACATCAGTTGTGTAAAGAAGGGTGCCTTCCACACTTATTTGTATTTTCAGAGGCCAGATTAATTTCAGCAAAAAGATTCTTATTGATTTTTTTTTTTTTTAATGCTTAACTTTTAATTTGCTACACATTTTATTTTCAAAAAGAGAAGCTGTCCAGCAATTTCTGCTCATGTCTCTGTACCCCCTTCCTGGCCTGTGCTCCCTGTGTGCTGGGCACTGACCAGTGGAGGGCAGCCTGTTCCCATGTTCCACTTTTCCTGGTGTTCTCCACATTCCAGATCCTGCTGTAGGCAGAGCAGTTCAGCCAAAAAATTATTCCATCTGTCATTTCTTCACAACCTCATTGTTGTTACATTTAATTAGCAGGTTATTTAATATATTTTTCGTTTTCTATAGAATTGTTGTTCTAAAAATACATGTTTACAGTCTTATACAGTAGTGACCTTTGATGAATAAATATATTAAAACTGCAAGGTAGATTTAGTAAAGTGAATTATTTATACTAACTCTGTTATCAAAGTACACAGTATACTATATAGAGGGTGGGTTTTTTTCACACTTGACTCTGAAATCTTCTATAAGGGTCAGAGAATCATGGAGCAGTTTGGGTTGGAAGGGACCTTAAAGATCATCTCTTTCCAACCCCTGACGTGGCAGGGACACCTTCCACTGTCCCAGGCTGCTCCAGGGCCTCCCCAGCCTCACAGGGAGCAATTCCTCCCCAAATCCCATCCAAACCTCCTCTGTCAGTGTGAAGCCATTCCCCTTGTGCTGTCACTACAGGCCCTCCTAAATAGTCCCTCCCATCTTGCTTGGAAGCTGTTGTCCTGTAACTCTGCTTAATAGATGATCTGAACGCAATTAATTTTGTTTTATTAGAAGTCCTGGAGGGTGCAAGCTCCCACACAGGTATTCCTGCTGCTCAGAGAGGTGAGTTTCCTTAATCTAGCCATCTGCCAGAACAGAATGAGCATTCTTGGGATATTGGTATACTCTTTTTGGATGTGTCTTACTCCAGGAAGTGTTTACTACTTAACTGAGAGTGCATGCTCTGGTGTGGCTTAATGAGATCCTAATATTTTGATGTGACTTTTCATTATAAAAGTTAGATTTGTTAATAATAACAGCCTCTCTGTCAGGTACGTTGATAGAAGTTTATCTGACAGCAAATGAGTCCCTGGGAAGAGAGCTGTTTTGCCTGTGTTAATTTGAAGTTAGCATGTGTTCCTCCCGTTTCTTCAGGATAACGAAGAAACAGTGTTTGCAACCCCCTCTTTTTTTTTAAAGAAATGTAAACACCCCTGCAACTAATACCAAAAGTCATAGCAGAAACAACTCTTACTTTTGATTGTAATGATAACGGGTGGGGTGTTGGGGCAAGAAAGACTGTTCTGGAAGGAAGATTCATTTGTGTATAAAACAGAGGTGTTGTTTCAGTTTGTGACTCTTATCCTCATCACCAAAGCTTTTTTTTTTCCACTCTGTAGGTTAGTTATCATTGATAGACAGTTGGGAAATTTAAATCCTGATCAGCAGCTCTTTGTAAGGAAGAAAAAGCAATGAAAATGAAAATTAAAAAAGGCTTAAATAAAGTTTAAAAAGCCATAACTTACAGCCTAAATTGAGATTATAAATAAACCTAATCTATCATAAGTCCTTAATTACTGTATTTGCATGTTTTTTCAGTGCTGAAGTCCCACTCAGGCAGTTGGTTCAGAGCTGGGCCATCACCAGAAATCGGTACTTTGGTTTGGACAAGTCCAAACCTGTCCTGTAACTTTTCCTTTTAGACAGACCTGGAACGGATGGTTGTTCTCTCTCAGATAGGAATCATTGCTTCCTCAAAAAGGAGCACTGCGATGAGCAAGAGACATCATCCATATATTTTTTTTCTGTTTTTTTTTTCTTTTGTTTTTCTGTCTGTGTTTCCAGCAACGTCAGTTGATTACAGTTCCTTTGCAGACAGATGCAACAGCTGGATAGAGCTCATTAAACTGAAAGCTCAGACCATAAGGCGCGGATCAATTAAGACAAGTAGGCGGCTGTTTCTACCACGTTCTGATAATCTGAGACATATCTCTGATTTCCCAGTGGTGACTTAGTGCCTGAGTGCCCTGCCCAGCAGGAGCATTGCAGCTCATGTGTGGGATGAATTCCCGAGGGTGCAAACTTCTGACATTGTTCTGTAACCTCACTAGGGTCAATGAACTGTAGCGTAAAAAGCAAAATGAAGTCTTGCTGTAATTAGTTCTCCGTACATGTGTACGCCTACTAACTGTATAACATCCACTGCATGGATGTAGGTGTATGTATGATCTTGGAAAATTGGGGGTGAGAAACAGGAAGCAATCACCAAGGGGACAGTCAAGGCAATGGTCACTAAATTAGCAAGTGGTGAGTTGGTTTTCAGTAGTTCTTTGGCCACAGGTCTGACTATCTTGCTTAAATTAGCAGAGATTAATACCTGTTTTAATGGAAAATGCTGCACTGGGGAAACACAACAACTTTCACACTTCCTATAATTTGTTCTTCCAGCAGAATACATGTTTCCAAATGTTGGCACTTTTTCCTTTACCTTCACATTATAACTGATGGTTGTATGTGCAGCTGCTCGCCTTGATGTTTTCCTTTCGCAGGAATGCCACTCTTTCCAATAAATGCCATTTCAGCTTCTTGTCTCCTTCTGCATGCTTTGCATGATGATTTCCTTTCTCACGTATATGGCTGAGCATCACAGGCAGCTGAATGTTGTCACCAAGCTATGTGGAAAACCATAAAGAAGAGTTTTTGTGTTTTGAGGAACAATGATGGATCTTGATAGTTATTTTCTCCTGGTTTTTTCCCATTTTTCAGCGACTTCCCTTGAAAAAGCAAGTCCATTGGCTGAGGGATACTTACGGCACCGTTCTGTCCCGTCGTGCACCAATTCCACTGTCTCAGTTGTTAAGATGACGCCTCTTTCCTTTCTCCCTGGGGCGAAAATAACCAAATATCTTGGGATAATCAACATGTTTTTTATACGAGAAACCACTTCTTTGCGTGAGGTGAGCTGCGTGGCAGGGATTCCTTTTATGTCAGGGAACAATTATTTGTTGATTGTAAGAATCAGATGTTTGAGTTGAGTGTGGCACAGCCAGGGAGTAGAATTTGTGTCACTTGTGGGAAGGTGCTGAGTGCAGAGCAAGTTCCTTTGTGCTGCTCTTGTCACAGAGCACACGAAGCAGTTTTGTGCTTGGCACTGTTAGGAAGGGGTTAGCCAACAATTGCCATTGCTGTTAAATTGGATAGAACACTAAAGCAGCTTAGTTCAGTCTCTTCTTCTGTCTGCCTCTTCCATTGCCTCCAGTGGCACACACACAGAGTCATGGGGGAAGTCTGGTGGTCTTGCCTTTCACTTGAAGTTGGAAATTTTGTATGTATTTTGAACCAACAGTGAGCTCTGCTTGGATCAGTTTCTTTTCTCAGCATTTTTGTGGATTTTTATTTCTTTGGTTGGTTGCCTGGAAAATCCATACTTTGTTGTTTTCCTTCTCCTTTGACATCAATTTAAATTCTTCCGTTTTGCACCAAAGAAGTAAAAATGCCCCACAAGCACTATCAAGTCAAAAAAAAAAAAAAAAAAGGGGGATGGCTAGAAGTTCCTTTGTGCTTCAAGGGGGAAAATAAAAAAATTAACAGCTTGAGCAGCTCAAGTCTCTGCTTCCTTATTATTTTGAGGGATCATGTCTTCAGTGAGTGTTGAGAACCAATGACAGTCATTAACATACATGAAGTTGCAGTGATCAAAGATAATGGTCACTCCTTCCTGGAAATTTCCAAGAATTTCGTAGAACCATAGAATGGTTTGGATTGGAAGCAACCTTAAAACTCTTGTTCCACCCCCCTGCCGTGGCAGGGACACCTCCCACTGTCCCAGGCTGCTCCAGGCCCTGTCCAGTCTGGCCTGGGGCACTGCCTGGGATCCAGGGGCAGCCACAGCTGCTCTGGGCACCCTGTGCCAGGGCCTCACCACTCACAGGGAACAATTCCTAATTCCCAATATCCCATTTTGAGGCAATTCCATCTTGTCCTGTCACTCCAGGCCCCTTGAATGGTCTCTCTCCATCTCATTTGTAACTGTGACCCTTCAAACAGCGAGTGGCTTTTAACTTCTCCACACCATTTAGGATTCACTGAATTTTTCAGCTGATAAATATGTAAGAGAAGTACACTGCATCTTGTAGCTAGACCTAATATCATCTGTAATGTGTATTTTTTCCATTCTAGGAGGGTGGTGTCAGTGGCTTCCTGCACGCTTTTATTGCTGAAGTGTTTGCCATGGTGAGAGCCCATGTTGCAGCTCTGGGAGGGAATGCAGTTGTGTCATACATAATGAAGCAGTGTGTTTTCATGGAGAACCCAAACAAAAATCAGGTACATTGGGATGTGAAATGACAAGGGCTCTTGGGGTTAGTATAATACAAATGTCTTTAAAAAACAGCAGTGCTGTAAAGCCATAGCTGCACAACATTTCTTGATATCTTGGATAATGCTTGAAGAATCCAAGAGTGTTCTTGTATTAACACAAAATTATGAGGATGGATAAGACCAAGCTTGCTAGAATGAAGTAAATTGCAGGAAACAGTTGCACAGTAGTGAAGAATTTACTTGGTATTTCTGATGTTGGATTATGATTTGGAGTGTAGGATTTCCATGTAAAAATACCTGGAGTTGCTGATGGAGATGCTCCATTTTGTACATAAAGGGACAAACCTTGATTTGTGAGGACAATAGCAGAATATTCAGTAAATTAATTATGTTCAAGACAGTAAGGAAAGCAGGTACAGATACCCAGGTACTTCACTGTGGTGAAATCCATCTGCACGTTTGGTAGCACACAAATGAACAGATGGAAAAGAAAACAGCACAGGTCGCCTCACCAATAAATTCTAATAATATGTCCTTCTCCCAGTCCCTGTTGATTTTTCTGTGTAGTTCTGTTTAGCAAGTATAAGTAAACATAAAATATATGATTGCTGAATGCTTGGTAACTGGGTGTTGTCATTTTCCCAGGCTCAGTGCTTGATCAATGTCAGTGGTGATGCTGTCATCTTTGTCCGTGAGTCTGAGCTGGAGATGCTGCCAGTGCAGCCTTCTGCAGCTGCTCCTCAGCCCACGAGTTCTGCAGGAGATGTCACAACATGAAGGCACAGCAAGTGAAGTAGTCACTGCTGAACATAAAGGTTATTTAAAATGTGGGAATCTTTAGGTTTGCATCTTCAAAGTCACTATCTTTCCGTGACATTCACAGCCAAAACCCAGGACAATCACTTTTTTTGTTGTCATACAACTTAGGTAAGTCAGAGCAGTGAGTTGGCAAACTGGCAGTGTGCTCTGGTTCTTCTGTTACTGTGCTTGGCCTCTGTGAAACCAGGCAGCAGGTGAAGCTCTCACAGGAGAACTTGGATTAGAATAGCAGGCATCTCATGGAACTGTGGAAGGAAGGAAAAATTCTGTTCCATTTTTGAATTATCAGTGGGACCCTGATAATCTGTCATTCAGAACCATTTCTGAGTTTGGGTGTTCTCTGAGCTGATTCTCAGCTCAGGTCAGGGCGGGAGGGACGTGCCTGAGAAGTTGGTTGGAAACCTTTGATAGAGAAGGGAGAGATTTGTGTGCAGGCCGAGAAAACATGGGCTGGACTCTGAAGTTCCTTTACATCGTAGAGTGTGAAGAGGAAAAAGGAGAACCAAAAAGTTACAGTTTGAATTTCTGCTCATTGAAAGTTTTTTTTCTTATTTTGTTGTTGTTTTTATAGTTGGGAGCTGGAGTGTGATGTTTTTTGTGGGGTTTTTGTTTGTTTGGTTGGTTTTTGTTTGTTGTTGTTTGTTTGTTTGTGATTTTTTAAAATTGTTTTTAGTAGCTACCAGACCACAATGCTGTGATCCTGGGCATCCCTGTGGTGGACAATAAAGCCCCAGAACACAATAAAAAGTTGCAGGGTGTGTCGTGTGTCTGGTGCTAGTACAAGATGTTCACTTCAGTATTGACAAAGCAGGTCTTTTGTTATTTAAGACTTTGTGAATGAATTGTCCTGAGATTCATCTTCTTAAGGCAGGATCTGTTTCAAGGATGACCTAAACAGTGCCCCAAAAATGGCTTGTGCAGAGGTTATTCTGCAGCCTCCTTCCTGTTTAAATGCCTGGCTAATTGGAGACTGATTTATGTGTGTGACACTGGTTCCACTGGGCTTTTTTTGTTCTTTTCCAGTGCTGTAGCTGGGAAATAAGGGTACTGCAAAGACAGGAAATTTGTCATTTCCAGTAAAAGTCTGAAAGGTGATGATACTCTATTGTAAAAACAAAACAAAACACAACAAAAAAACTTCGCTTTGAAGATGCATTCTTGCTTAATTCTGACAACATTGTACATGTAACTTGAACAAAGATATAAACTTGAATGTAAATACTCTGTTCAGTGTTGAAATTAAGCAATGGCATGATTATTTGTTAAAACTAATTATTTCATTGTAAATGAGCATGAAAATCATTCTTGCACAATAAATATCTTTATAAAATTCGCTGTCTTAATGTATGTGCATTAGGTAAGTGTGTAAGCTGGATGCACTGAAGATGTCCCACCCCCATTCTGCTCAGGGGAAACTTGTTTGAGTAGCATGTTCCAGCCTCCTCTGTGTCCTGGGCTGAAAATTGTGAAATTGTGCCCTGGGCTGCACACAAAGCCCCATGGGCAGCAGGACAGGGGGTTCTGCCCCTCTGCTGAAGCCCCTGCAGGGCTGGGCAGCACAGGAGGAGCTGGAGCTGCTGCAGAGCCCAGGGGAGGCTCCAGGATGAGCAGGGGATGGAGCAGCTCTGCTGGCAGGAAAGGCTGGCACAGCTGGGGGTGTTCTCCTGGGGAAGGGAAGGCTTTGGGGTGACCTTGGTGGCCTTCTAGTGCCCAAACAGCGTATGAGAGCGTACAGGAAAGGTGGAGAGAGATTATTTACCAGGGCCTGGAGTGACAGGACAAGGGAAATGGTTTTACACTGATAGAGACCGGGTTTGGATGGGATAGTGGGAAGAAATTCCTCCCTGTGAGGGTGGTGAGGCTCTGGCAGAGGCTGCCCACAGAAGCTGTGGCTGCCCCATCCCTGGAAGGGTTTAGGATGAGGTTGGATGGAGCTCAGAGCAGCCTGGGCTGGTGGAAGGTGTCCACTCCCAACATGCACCAAACAACCTCCTTGACTTCTCCCCTCTCCTCCCAACAAATGAACTTCTAAAGCTGTTCCAACTCAAACCAATCTATGATCCTGTAATTTGGTTATTTTGGGGATTAATTATCCTTATATTTGAAGTGTGTGACTTTGGCCCTCACCAGAACAAATCACTAACACAGTTAAATCATCTTTCTGAATTCTGTAGCTGTTGCAACCAAAGCTGCCATGAATTCATTTGCCTGTAAATAGCTGAAGCTCTTGATTGTTTTGCAAAGCAAATCTTGTCTCCCTTTGAAGCTAATGGCAGAACGTGAATAACTTCAGAAGGTCTTGGACTGGCACAAAAAGTCACGAGTATTCAGCATGAAATATCTGAAGCAGCACACTGAAGTAAGTAGCTGGTTTGATTATTTTCCTTTTGAGGGGTGGTGGTTGCTTCTGTGGAAGCATTAATGCCATCTTTTCTTTTCTAGCTGTTTAAATGTCACAGCTTCCCAGTGTGCTTCTTTAGACACACAGGAGCCTTCTTATCTAGAAATTTTAATTCTCTAATTATTATTCCAGAAGTGACAGACACAGTTTTTAACCGCAGTTACAAAATTGTCACTTCTACTTTATGTATGTTGTGCAACTGACAAAGGAAAAATCCTAACCTTCAACACATGGACATTGCTTTTTACAGTCACCTGTCCTACAAATAAACTGTCATTATTTTAATAATGTAAAAAGAGTGGCATCAAGTTCAATGAAGTTGTTGTTTACTTCACTGGAAGAAAGTTTTATTATGATTTGTCTGAACTCATCATAGAGTTTAGACTTTAAAAAATCCAAGCAGGCCCCTCTGACATAAAAGGGGTCTGTACTCCAGCAATTAAATCAGAGTCCAAACTAATTGAGAATGCGAAATTAGCCTGGACAGAAACTTGCTCAGATCCCAGCACAAGCAATAATTCAAATTTAATCTGACTGTTTTACCTGATATTCTGCAATAGAACAATACATTGTCTCACTGAATTTAATGAAGCACAAAGTCCTTAGTTTCTGCAATTAAAAAGGTGTGTGGGACAAGCAGCTGATCTCTCAAGCACCCTGGCTGTACTTGAGAGACAAATGTGACAGGAAATGATGTGAGACTTTTCAAAGCAGCTGCCCAAGCCATTAGGAAGTCTGACATGAGAGGCCAAGTGATTAATGGCTTTGGTGGGTTATGCACGGGTTTGTTTGATAACAAACAGCTGCTCTGGTGAAGATGACAGCAGTGCTTCATTAATTTCTTTGCAGCTCATTCTGTGATGGAGGTGCACAGCCAACTGCTCCCAGATACCTCCTGCAAGGTGGGTAAGTGCTGCATCCTGCCCAGAGGCATCTCCTGGCTGCCTTTGCAGCCCAGTGAGGCTTTTGGGCAGAACTGAGGAGCGTGGCTCGAGCCCAGCCAGTGAAGCATCAGGGCAGAAGCTACAGCACAATGTAGACCCTGTAAGGAAATAGGAGATGCCTTCCCGTGGTGCTGGAGCACAAGAATGTTCAGGTTTAGCTCAAAAGGGTATTGCAGCTGGGCAAATAGAAAAGAAGGTGCGTGGTTTAGTGCCTTGTTTGGTTAGAAGTTTGTTCGAGATGAGCAGTGTCACAGTGCTGTAAAAGCTTTAAGGAAATCAGAATAAATATTCTGTGAGAAAGCTAAAAGTGTGCTTAAAAAGGAAAAGAGTTTGGGTGTTACTGGTCCCTTATGGAGTCCTTGCCCAAGGAGTAACACAGGAAGTAGTTTTTTCCTCTGTGTGCCCAGGTTTGATCTGGGATAGAGCTACCAGAGGGGTGGGGCACTCTGGTACTCAGCTGCTGGCTGGGGTTAAACCACAACACTGTCTTATGATGCTGCTGGAGAAGGAAAAAAATACACACTCCAATGACAAACACAGATATTTTTGGCTGGCTAGACACAGATTTAATTCATATGATTTGCTTGAATGGTATAATTATGATATTAATTTTCATCGTGTTTCCTAAATACAAATGCAAGTGCAGAAACAGAAAACTGAATTGGCAGCCAATGAAATGCAGTTAACACACAGGAAATATCTCAATCTAAAGTAACTTGCAGATTATGAGAATAGGTGAGAGTGAAGCAGCAAGAGAAAAGGAAAATATGATATATGGAGATGACAAGAAATCAAATTAAATTAAATTTTACTTCTATGCATTTTACCAGCTATGCTTACTTTTCTAGTAAGAAAATCTCATATTTTATTAGCCCCAGCTACCTTAATGACAGGGAATTAAAATATTTTTTGACTGTTCTCTGGCGTCATGTCCAAAAAAATTCTTCAGTTGCTAAAATGAGAGAACTGAGAGCACCTGAAGCCTCAGAACATTCAGAATTACTTACATAATCACAAACATAAATGAGCAGTGCAAACATTTTTGTGCTGTGGGGATTCCTACCTAAAGATACAAACGTTTATATCTCATTTCATGGTGTTTTAACTGTTGGAAAATTCTAGTTACTGCTCGAGGTGACCCAGCAAGAAGTCAAGGGGCACAACTGGACAGCTTGCAGAGAATCAAGGACAAAACCCACTGCTCCTGAAAACCAGGGTGCACAATTGGAGACATTGGGAATCAAACTCTGGTCTGACACAGGTAGTACAGAAGCCAATAGAACAGTGAGTGGCTGATATCATGGTACTTACGTTATTTTTGGAATATTTAAACTTATGCTTGAGTTAATTTCTATCTTATAGGAAAATGGAGTTAAGTGAATTAGGACACTGCTGTACAGTGCTCAAGTGCTCTTAGGTTAACAATCAGGGGAAAGAAAATTTTAACAGACACACTGAAAATCAACTTCACCTCTAAATACTCCCCATTTTTTTTCCACATTGTGACAAATGTTTCAGTTCCCTGTGAAATTAGGTAATACACTTGGTTGAAGTTAGTCTAAAAGAGCCTTTCTTTATTAGAAGGCATGATGGGTAGTTAGCTCAGAAATGTCTTGCTGAATTTCTCTAGTTTTAATATGATCTTCCTATGGTTTTATATCAGTATTTAGAGCTACTGAATCATTTGAGTTGTGAGTATTTAATCCCTCTGGAAATCTGACACTTGAGGGCATTTCATATTGAATAATCACAAAACTAATCACTGGAACTAGGCATAAGAATATTTTGAACTCATCACCCAAAAATTTGGAGACACTGTTTGGACACACACACTGACTGAAAACCCAAGGGAATCTGCTCCTGAGATCTGCATCATGCAGGAAAAAGCAGTTTTTGAATTAATCTAGATGGCACCCAAGGCAGAACAGCAAAGGCTGTAGCTAAATCCTAGGGCTGAAATTTTGTCTGGCTGTAGCCCTTATCCATGCTCCAAAGCCAGCAATCATAAAGCCTCTGACCCCAATGACAGAACATCCTTTGTTCCATCAGTTCTGTGCTGATGAAAAGCATCACTTGCAGATTTACCCAGCTGTCCTTCCACATTCATCTCCTCTTCAGCCTCCATAAACCAACTTATCCTTGTAAAACTACAAACAGATGCAAACAAAGCTCACAGATTTCCATCTGAGGAGTTATCTGCTTATTCAACGTTTACAATTTGGAAAATCTGCGGAAGGAAAAGAAACGCAAAATATTTGCAGGATGTTGGATGTTTGTAATTATTGCAACTGCAAAACACAGCATATTATTTGTTCATGGTCTCAGCAGCAACAGTGTTTGCCTGTCCTCCAGGTCTCAGCTGTGGGAAGTATTTTGACAGCTCCATCCACAGTGTGGAGCTCCACGTGGGCAGAGTTGTGTTTTCTTTTTGCTGCTGAAGTGAGGCTTTCAAGTTTGCCACAAACCCCAGGCACGTGAGCACATTTTCCTCCTAAAACACCTCCTTACCCTCTCCCTCTCTCCCAGGGCAGGGAAGTTGATTTCCACACTGGTGCTTGGTGGTATCAGCCTCTGGAAATGCTGCCTGTGCTCCTGGTGGGACAGCCCAGTGTCATTTCCAGCCTCCTGTCCCAGAGCTGGCACTGCAGGACAAGCTGGGCTCTGAGCCTGGAGCCTCCCTCACTCCCTGCCTGTGCTCAGCCCCAGGATGGGGACTTGGAGCTTCCTTAGGGCACATTGCACCCACAGCTGGCACCAGCTGCTGGAAATCATCACCCCTGGCATGGGGAGAGCACCCTGGCAGCCCAGCACGTGGCAATAAAAGTTCCCTGGCAGACTTTTCCCTCCTGCTTGGGAGCAAAGGTAGGTGGGGATGTGTCTGACATCTCAGGCAGGACCACCCAGCCACCTGTGACCTCCTGTTCACACTCAAATCTAAACCCAGCTCAAACCTAGAGGAAGATGAAGGCAAGCACCTGGAGACTG